TTATTGTACTGGGGGTACATTGTGATATTTACCAAAGTACTTCCATTGTATCATAGCTGAATTCATCCCCTTTATCCATCCCTTCCCCATTCCTGGAATAGTTTCAACAGGTCTCATTTTTCCATTTTCATACACCATTCTGATTTTTAAAAAACTTTTTAGTCTAATCACTCTCCACTCAGTCATTTCCAAGCCTTTTGTCTTTTTTTTTTTTTTTGGTTTATTTATTCATTTATTCACATGTGCATACATTGTTTGGGCCATTTCTCCCCCCTGCGCCTCCCTTTCCCCCCACTCTTCTTCACTTCCAGGCAGAACCTGTTCTGCCCTTTTCTCCAATTTTGTTGAAGAGAAGACATAAGCAATAATAAGAAAGACATAGTGGTTTTGCTAGTTGAGATAAGGATAGCTATACAGAGAGATTCCTAGCATTGCTTCCATGTACAAATGTATTACAACCTGAATTGATTCATCTCTACCAGACCTCTTCACTACTTCCTGGTCACCTTCTCATAGTGACCTCTGTCAATTTAAGATTATTATATTAGCCTTTTGTCTTAATAGATGGCCTCACCTCATGTTTCCTGGAGAAATCAAAATCATTTAATGTACAAGCCCTTGGTCTCTCTCCAAAGCCAACAAACCTAATTCCATTGTACAATCACCTCTTCTCACCTGTTTCAGTGGAAAGGCTATCCCTTGTCCTAACCAAGGCTAATTCTTTTACCTCAGCTTTGAATGTCATTGCCTCTGCTTCCATAGGAATTTTTCTCCAGTGAGCATCCTTTTATTTCCATTATTTCACCTCTTTTTTATTTTTCTTTTTTTTTAAATACTTGCTCTTTCCCTCAACATATCAAGAGGATTGAAGTTTCACCCTTTCCTCATTCCAAATCTTGCTAGATATATGTGTCTCTTTTTTCGTTTACTATCAATTTTATGAAATGGCACCAGTGCTTGTCTAACTACACTGTTCAGTTTAGTCCATTCTAAACTAGGACTTTACTGAGATACTGAATACTGACATTTATTTAGATGTTTCTTTGTTGTGGGCATTGTCCTGTGCATTGCTGGATGTTTAGCATTCTCTCTCTCTCTCTCTCTCCTTTCTCTGGCAGTACTGGGTTTGAAATTAGGATCTCACCTGTAGGCAGGTGCTTTACCATGTTTAGCACATCTCACTAGACACCAGTAGCATATCCCCAACTGTGACAACCAGACATAGCTCCAGAGTTTGCCAAATGTCCCTGAGGGTCAAAGTCACCTCCAATTGAGTACTTCTATTCTAAAATATGCAAGGCAATTAGTGAAACTGGTCTTTTTTTTTTATTATTACCAAAGTAACAGATATTTCATGAATCCTTATTACCAAAGTAACATATTTCATGAATCCTTGATCACTCATTTCACTGCTGAGATTCTTTTTCCCCTTGATTTACTACTTGTATCCTTATATCTCTCTTTTTTGTTTGTTTGTTTGGTTTTCCTATGTTCTGACCCATCCATCTCCTCCTGGAGCTTCTTTTCATTCTTCAACTCTTAAAATACCAGACTTCCTCAGGTATTTGTCTCCTTTCACTTGTACTCTGGGTGACCTCACCAAAATATCACATGTACACTAACAAGTGCAAATCTCTATCCATAGCCCAGTGCTCTCTCCTGAGCTCCAGACCCATATATACCACAGCCTATCAGAATCTCTACTTTGGAAATGTTAGCTACTTCAAACTCTACTTGTCAGAAAAGACAATCCCACTTCCAACCAAAAGTACCAAACCCCCAAAGTTGGACTTTTCAAGCTTGTGTCTCTTTCTTGAGTGGCATCACCACCCAACCACTTACCTATTCCTATAAATCTGGAAGATTCTGAGATTCTCCTCCTTCACCCCTATGTGCAATTAGTTGTATTCAGTGTTCTTTTTTTTTTTTGTATCTCCTCCTTATTCTCATTTCCACCATCCTCATTATTGCCATCCCAATACCATTCATGCTTCCTCCAACCCACTTTCTACACTGTTTATATTATGGTGTCTCTAATATTCTGATTGCTATTGTTCTGATTCATTTTCTTTAATGACTTTCTATAGTTTTAACAAAAGAATAGTTTGAACACCTTATCCTAGTCAAAAAAGGCCTTACTTAATCCATTTATATCTGCTCTTCTTCCACCATCTTTTGATTATTCCTCAGAATGACATGCTTAGAATGTGCTGATCTTTCTGCCATAAATATTATCTCTATTTGCTTTATTTAAAGGCTGTCTTTAAAAATATTCATATGTGCATACAGTGTTTGTGTCATAAATATAATTATATATAAAAAAAGGCTGTCTTTCTTCATGTTGAAATTTTAGTTTAAACCTCACCTCCTCTAGGTTGGTATAGAGTGTTCCATCTTTTTGTTCTCAGAGCACTATCACACCATCTTAGTCCCTTCTACATTATATTGTATATAATGGAGTAACTTCCTGAATTCTGTGAAAACACTGCAAGTAGGGTGGTGATAATGTTTTAGCTGTTCTCAGTGCCAAGCACAACTACCTGGCACATAGTAAGTGCTTGATAATTGTTTACTATCTCTCTCTCTCTCTCTCTCTCTCTCTCTCTCTCTCTCTCTGGTGGTACTGGAGTTTGAACTCAGGGCCTCGTACTTGCTAGGCAGGCACTTTACCACTTGAGCCACTCTGCCAGCGCTAGATAAATGTTTAGTAAAGAAAAAATATTAAGGATACTAAAGGCCTGGATGGGTAAAGAGTTGTGAATATGAAATATTTCAGAGGCAAAATTAGAAGGGTTTATTAATTAGAATTAGGGAGTGAGGAAGACAGAATAAAGATGATTTTTAGGTTTCTAGTTTGGTGCTATTGACTGGGACAGGAAAAAATGAGGTAGATGCGGAATAAATACAATAAACCAGTGTTTATTCACTTATTTTGGATAGGGTGTGCTAGAGATGCTATGTCCAGTAAAAATACAATGTGAGCTAAAATTTGATTTTTACTTATCTCCCATCCATATTAAAAAGCCTTTTTAAAATGAGATAAAATTGATTTTAATAGTATATATATTTAACCCAGGATTTCTCAACTCTAATAACATTTCAAGGATGGGGACGTAGTTCAGTGGTAGAGCATGTGTGACCTGGATTTGATCCCCAGCATTATAAAAATAAGCAAACAAAAAACATTTGGGGACCGAAGAATCCTTTGTTGTGGAGGGCTGTCATGTGCATGTACAATGTTTAACAGCATCCTTGGCTTCTGTCCAATAGATGTTCCATCCTCCCTGAGTTGTGACAACCCAAAATATCTCCACATGTTATTAAATGTTCTCTGGGGTTGGGGGGAGTGAGTGGGAAGTAATTATTCCATCTTGAGGACCATTAATTTAGCCCAAATACTTTCAGAATATTGTTTCATCATAAAATTAATATTAACAATTAGTGAGAATTTTCACAATTTTATAGTGTATCTTTGAAATTGGATGTGTGTGTTTCATTCACTTAAAGCAGTTCTCAGTTTGTAGTAGCCACATTTCAAGTGTTCAGCCATATGTGGCTTGTGTCTCTACCTTACTGAAGAACACAGGTCAGAACCTTTAGAAAAAAAGGCTAGGGATGGAAATATATATATTTGAGGCAATAACAGCTGAAACCATGGGAGTAGATAGACAACAGGAGGGCTGAAGAAAATTTTAGTCTAATGATCTTCCCTGTTAATAATTTAAAAATATTTTCTTCACTAAATAATATGGAAGACATGCGTGAACAAAAGAAGAGTATTGAGAAAGATAAGTTGATGCAAAAGGAGGGAGTTAATGTTTGTTAAGCACTTAATTGGTAAATAATGTTTGGAGAACTGTACAAATTGTCTTATTTAATCTCCCAAGAACCTTTTAGGGCACTAAAAAATACAATGTTATTTAATTTATCTAGGGGGAAATTGAGATTTATAAAGATCTAATAAATAAATCAGACAGCTGTTGAGTGGCATCACTGGGCTTTTGAGAGTCTGAGTGACTCCAAAGCCTCCTAATGCAATTAACGAAGCACTTGCTATCTACTGATATTTAAGAAATAATTAAGAAGGCTTCTGCGGTTGTGCAGCCAGTTCCCACAGAATCTCTGTTGCCACCTTGGACCTGATTGCGGAAGCATGCTCACCCTAACAGTACTCTTTATGTTACTGGCTCCTATGATTCAGATACCATTTGTTGTGAAGGACCCTAAACCAAGTTTTTAAGTGCACCCTAAGTATAGTCAGTAATTGTGTAGTTGTATTTTTAGCTAGGAAAACGTTAATCAAGATGTAGTCAGAATTATGCCTCTAATATTGGACGTATAATCACCAAAGAAAATGAAATGATCTCTTTGTAAGCCTGCTGGGCTTCGCCTACAGACTCAAGAAGCGAGTACAAAGAGGGAGGGTCGGGACCCGGGGGGCGGGGCAGTCAGAACCCAGAATCTGAGCAAGCGCAGAGACAAACAGATGTTAATGGAGGCATGAAGGTTCTGACGCTGTTTCGCTTTCCGAACTGTCGTAAAGACCCTAAGTGTCGTGCTCGCGCAGTAGGGGAGGGATTGGTTCGGCGGCGGCGGCGGCAGTAGGGGCAGGAGAACAGCAGCAGCGGCGGCGATGGTGGCGAGGTGTCCGCTGTGCGCTGCGTAGAAACGCCCGCAGCCTCGGAGTGGGAGTTCCTGTGGGGTCAAATTAGGCACTCTGAACCCGAGCCAGGGTGGCCGGGCCGAACACAGGCGCTGCCTCACGCACAGCTTGGTGGCGGTGACAGGCGCCGCTCCTGACTACCGGGCCTCTTAGGCCGAGCTCCGAGGCGCAGACTGCCGGCTCTCGACGCTGCCTCTCCCTGCTTGAGTCCCCTGTCTTCCTTCCTGGGTCAGCGGTACCCGGACCCCGGGAAGAGGGTGGCTAATGAGTAAGGTGAGGGCGCAGGGGGGAGGGGAGCGGCGAGGCCGCGCGTGCGCGCCGCGGGGGAGGAGCCGGCCTGAGGGAGAAAGAGGAAGGGCTGCGGCCGCGGAGGCCGGCCGGGGTCGGGGGCGGTCGGCGGCCAGGGGCTCGGGGTCCCCGCTCGGAGGAAGGTCGCACGGCGCCGCGCCGCGCCGAGCCGCGCCGCGCCGCGCAGGGTGTCCGCCCGCCGGCACACCCACGGGCTCGGTGAGGGGCGTGGGCGAGGGCTCCGCGCCCCTTTAGCCTCTCCCGGAGTCCTAGCAGGAGGACCGAGGCGTAGGAGTGCGAGTTGACAATGAGGCGGTGAAGGTAACCGGGGCCGGGGAGTCGGAGGGCGCTCAGTCACCCCCGAGCGGGAGGGAGCTGCCTTCCTGCGACCCAGGAAACGTCCGCGAAGCAGCCGCGTCGGATTCGGTGTGGAGTTGTTGGCTTCTTCAATCAGGACCAAAAGAAGCTTGAGGGGTTTGTTGCTGTGCTCAGAGAATTTGTCAGTAGCCGTGCGGTTAGTGGAAATACCTGTTCTGTCCTGCAGAAATCGAGGTTTGTTGCTAGACTTTTTAGGTTAAGGTAGATATTTACAGGTAGCTCTTAATGCGAGTGTTAAGTTTTAACGTTAAAAAAAAATACCAGGAAGTATAGGGCCTTCATTTAATTTGCTCACGTTCGAAGTGTGGGGTGACTCCATTGTTTTGTTGTGAGCTTTCCTGTTTCTTGATTATTCGCAGTATTAATTTAGAACTCACTTGAGCCGTAACGTGCCAGCTGACAGACTTCATTATGAGGGTTCTTAACAGTTTTTAAACCTACTTAATCCAAACTTTATTCCACTTGACTTTTCATCTTTAATTTTCTTGTTTTAAGGAACTTCTCAACTAAAAAGAACATACTGGGAAAAAGATTCCATTTCCTTTCCCCTGTGTGTGTGTGTGTGTGTGTGTGTGTGTGTGTGTGTGTGTGGTTTGCGTGCAGAAGCTATCATGTGATTTTGAGATTTCCATAGAAGTTCTTTCCATAATGTTACAAAGCTTTATTAGAGTGAAAACCCACATTTTGATAATTTGTTACTATGTGCTTTTAAATAAAAGTGTTTATGACAACAGAAACTATGTTTTCATGTTAAACAATTTTTAGTTACATTTGTGAGAAATGAGAAGGAAGCCGTTTTACTCTGAAAAGAAGCTTAAATTGGTTTTAAACTTTGAATTATTTTACTTTTGTCATTCTCTTGTCATTTAACCTTGGGCAAATGACTTCATCATCGCCTCATTTCCTTGCCATCTAAGAGTCTGATAGTATTTTAAGAATTACTGAGGGTGTTCATGGATTGTTCTGACACCATAGGAAAAATTCCATAGGAAAAATTAGGAGAGTAGAGTCGTTCCTTGATTATTAGGGATGATATATTTTGTCGATTTTTTCCTATTGACTGGTGTCTGTTGGCGTTTCACTAGAAATAGAGTTCTTTAAGATACGAGGTCTTACTGTGTTGCCCAGGCTTGCTTCCAACTCCTGGGCTCAAGTGATCCGTCTGTCTCCTAGTCCCAAATAGCTGGGCCTATAGATAGGCTTACGACATTATGCCCAGGCTTAGAGTTTGTTGGTGAAGAAAGGTATAATCAAAATAATTTTGGTGAAAATGCACCATAGCAGAGGTTATACTTTGATGAGTTTCACTTTGGTATTCCATTTCTACCGATAACTGGATGTAGTTATACTGATGCTCAGAATAAGGGAACAGCAATTTACTTTTATAAAAGAAGAGTCACTTAGCAGATAGTCCTAGGTAGTTGTTTTTACTTTCAAATTAGAAATAGAATAGAAAAATTGATTGAATCAAACCATTTAGATTTTTAATTGTTTCTTTTATTTTTGTTGAGGGGCTTCAGTGTCATTTTTTACATACAGCTTAATTGTAAGTGCCACTGCTTTGACTTCCCTCACCCACCAATGGGGCTGAGACTTCAATAGAGGAAAAATGATATAGTACTAAAAAGATAGTAATTAAAATATAATGTAACTTGACATTAACATTCTGTGCTGTGACATTATCTTTAAAAAACAGTGTAGAGCTAAAGGCAGGAGATCTGGCTTCTCGATTGCAAAGCAGATTCTGTACTGCTTGAGCCACACCTCCAGTCAATTTGTGGTTATTTTGGAGATGGGGGTCTCTCAAACTATTTGCCCAGACTGGACTTGAATCACGGTCCTCTAATCTCAGCTTCCCAAGTAGCTAGGGTTATAGGCATAAGATACCACACCCAGCTGAGATCTGGTTTTTAGAACTAGCTTTGCTTGCTGTGCGTTGAATCTGTGAGTTTATTGCTAACCTTCCCTGGGGTTTCTCAATTATTAAAATGAAAAGTGGAGGATAGATAACTCTGGTTTACTCTAGGTCCCAAATTTAATAGCTTGTATTTTTAGTTAGGTGCTTTGGTTATTCATTGTTGTAGTCATCATGATAAAATCTCCAGGAAGAAATACTGTACTGAGAGTGTAAATGCCTTCATGAGAGATACATATACATATGTGTATGTGTAAACCCATGATGAAGCTATATTTGTTATTTCAGGTAATAATGCTATCCGTCATGGAAATTATTAAAGCTTTGACAGCTCTCAGGTGGTACTAAAGATGAAACTTTTAATTATTCCTGGTAATGTTCTTTAAATTATCTTGAATAATTTCTTTTTCTTTCAGAAACATGTAATTCTGCAAAAGTCCAGAATTGCATTTGAGTGTCTTATATCTCTCTTCTTTCTTTTTTACATCTCACAGATTCTCTGTTACAGTTGACTCAGGTTTCTACAGGTACTCAAAAATTACCATTAGATGAGGAGTGAGCTATACTTCACCGAGCTTACATTTTTAAATACAGGGACTATATTATTCTTACTTGGTAAGCATTTAATAAATGTCTCATGTTCTAGGTGTCATCACTGGTCTTCAGTGAGGAAGGCATTCTCCTTAATGGAGTGAACATTGTGCTTGGTGGAAACATAATAAACAGAAAATAATTTCAGGTAATGGTAAGTGCCATGAAGAAAATAACACCATGTAGTGGAGAATGAATGGAAATGGAGTTCAATTATGGATTGTGTAGTTAGGTATACCCATTTTTTAGAGGTAGTAATTTCATTTGTGATCTCAGTGAGTAGGAAGAATCAGTGATAATGACAGAGGAAGGAAGAGGCCTATAGGTAGCAGGAACAGCAAATGCATTAGATTCAGGTTTCATTCTGGAGAATCTACACCAATGAATTAATTGTTTGATTTGTCTGTTAGGCTTTTCATAATTGCTGATAGGTGATGTAAATATATTACAATTATTTTATGTATAGCAGCCTAATTCAAATTGGCCTTGTTGAAATATATGATCAACCAAATCAGTTGTCAGAAGTTTTGGTTTTACTTTTAGTGATGATTGAACCCAGGATCTTATGCATGGTAGATTAAAAAGTCAATTTTGAAAGGGTCTAGCTGTGTAACCCAAGCTAGCATCAAACTCAGGATCCTCTTGCTTCCCCAGTGTTGGGATTAATATGTGTGTCCCACCACACCTAGTTACTAGAAAGTTATTTTTGATATGCTTGAAGGATCTAAATGTGAATAAGCTTAATGTGATACAAGAGAGATATTTTGTATTCTGGTGGTACTGGGATTTGAACTTAGACCCTCATGTCTTGCTAGGCAGGCATTCTACCACTTGAGCTATGCCCCAGCCCAACATAGTGTATTTTTGATAGAGATGATAATGGATTATGTTTACGTAAGAATACTCATAGTTTTTAGTCATGGAAACTGAAGAATGAGGGAGAAAAATGGTAGTTATGTGGTATTTGTTTAAAAATACTTTTGTGTAAAAAGAGGTGGTAGGGGTTGAGATAGATGAAGAAAATGTGGCACTATCTTGATAGTTGTGCATTTGGGTGATGAATGTGTGGATATCAATAATGTTCTACGATTTTGCGAGACTTGACAATAGTCAAACCTCCAGTGCCCCATGTAGTGTCCATTAATGATTCCTGCCTGGACTGAATTTTTCTTACAGTGGTTTTAAGATGGTTATTTTCTCTATCTCCTCCACCTCTAGGCATTCTCTTATAAGGAAGAGGCACCTTTTTGCCTTTCTGTTATCAGCATGGCCTCATGTACTCCCTAACTTCAATGAGTTAGAATCTGTACTGTGTTTTTATTTTGATGTTCAAATTCTCCAGATTTGCCTAGTGGGAGCCTCTGCATGCTGGCTCCTGTGTCTTTTTGACATACCCTCATCTTTTTTTTTTTGTTTTGTTTTCTGTTTCCTTTCTTGCACAGTAAGATGTTCTGAGTTCATCTGTATCTTTCTTGTCTCAGCCTTGAAATCAGCCACTCCAAAAGGAACTCTGGTTTTTCAGTGAAGAATCTAATTTGCTTCTGAGTTATGTATTTATATGAGGAATAATTTCCTTCCCTGGATCAGGATATTCTCTAAGAAAGTAAATTATTTTGATAGGTTTATTTACTTCTAAAGATTTTATGAAGTAATCACTTAAGATTCAACAATTTATTATATTTGAAGTAACTATTCTTCTGTGCCCTTTTTCAAGCAACTGAGTTATGTTCTTTTTTTCTCTTTTGTTCTTTGTATGAGTTATGTTCTGATATATTTCATGATAATATGAAATTGAAGGGAAAAAAAGACAATTTTGTGTTTTTAAGGGGATTAACCACTAAAAATATTAAAAACAACTAAAGACCTGGAGGCTTACACCTGTAATCCTAGCTACTTGGGAGGCTGAGATCAGGAGGATCAGGGTTTGAGGCCAGCAGTGGCAAGTAGTTCGAGAGACCCCATTTCCAAAATAATCAGAGTGAAATGGACTAGATGTGGCTTTGCAAGTGCAAAGCCCTGAGTTCAAGTGTGTCTCACCAAAAAAATAAGACAGCTAATGTTTATACACTTAACTGTTTTTAACTAGGTTATCAGACTTTCTACTCTGAAAAAAATTACTTTTTCAGTAGCTTTTAAATGAACTTAAAAAAATTCTAATACAGAATTTCCATATATGATGGAAACTCACTAGCACATTACTACAAGCAGTTGCTTTTACATTTTAGTTATATTTCACAGCCACTTGTACATGGCTATTTGTTTTATTACTTACCTTTTAACTAATTTAAATTTTTCTAAGCAATATTTTGAATTTATTTTTAAATCAAGTACTATCTTTACATGGTTTTAAAAGTCAGCTTCAAAAGGCTTGAAATGAAAAATAGCAGTTCCCTGTGCCACTCTCCTCGTTTCCCAGTTTCACTGCCTAAACAGAAACATTTTAGCTCTTAAAAATTATATTTCTGGTTGCTGGGGATGGGCTTTGTGATAGAGCCCATGCTTTAGCATGTGCAAAGCCCCAGGTTCGATCTGTAGCACTACAAGGAAAAAGAAAAAAAAAAAAAGTGCACACATTTTTTTCAATATGTATCACCATGTTTCTTTTCTTTCTTTCTTTTTTTTTTCCCCACTATGGGTTGAACACAGAGCCTTGCTAAATGTGTGTTCTACCACTGTGCTGCATCCCCAACCCCTACATTCCTATTTCTTACTAGAATGCTTTTATTTCTACTTGTTTTCTTCCTCAGTACTTGGATCTAACCCAAGTACTAGGCAAGAGCTCTATCACTTGAGCTCTGCCTCCAACCCTTCTGCTTATTTTTTATGTCAATTTGGATTTCTTTTAAAAAAAGTTATTTTTTGTTTGGCTTTTTTGTAACACAAAGGGTTCCAGGTTCTACAAATATAAGCAATATACAGGGACAGAAAAAGCTACTTGCCATTTGGTCTTCTTACTACCCAATTCTTTTCCCTGGAGATATATTTCCTTTACTATTTTACATGAATGTCTAGAACATCAGTTCTCAAAGTGTGGTCTGTGGATTCTTGTGGAGGTCTTCAGTGTTTTAGGAGGTCTGCCAAGTTGAAATTGTTTCATAATATTAGTAGGTTCTTATTTACTATGTCAACATTAGTGTTGACATTTGTACTGGTGGTGCAAAACCAGCTGTGTCATGAATCAAGATAGTGGCAAAACTGCACTAAAAATCATTATATTCTTAACCACTACACCTGTACTTTAAAAGTGCCAATTTGTAATTGGTGGAGTGGCTCATGCGATACAGTGCCTCCCTCGTAAGCACAAGGCCCTGAGTTCAACCCTCACTATCGCCAAAAAAGGAAAAAAAAAATCTTACTAGCTGAGCACAGTGGCTTATTTCTGTAATTCTAGCTACTTCAGTGATGGGGAGATCAAGAGGACTGTAGTTCAAACCAACCTGGACAAAAAGTTCTTGAGACCTCATCTCAACCAGTAAAAAGCTGGACATGGTGGTATGCACCTGTCATCTCAGCTATGTAAGAGGCAAAATAGGAGGATGGAGATCCAGGCTGACTTGGGCAAAACTTGAGCCCCTACTCAAAAAATAAGAAAAGCAAAAGTGCTGGGGATGTGGCTCAAGTGGTAACTCGAGATTAACTTCTTTTTTTTGCTTTTCCACAAATATTTTAATATTGTATTAACTTTGTAAAAATATAAGGTGGTCAGTGACAGTCTCTTGAATAAGGAAGCTTTTGAAACACAGATCTACAGGAAGTGAGTTACTAAGCCTTGTGGATATGTGGGAGACAAGCACTCTAGGCAATGTGACTAGCAGTAGCAGCTGGAGGTAATAGTTCCTGCTGGAGTGAAGTGCATGGGGAGGAGAATGCTGGTCTCTGAGGACAAAGGTCGAAAGGGCTCAATGATGTCCTTTAGTTCTAGGAACTATTTTTTTATTACCTTTAATAATTTCTTACCCATTTTTTTCTCTGTTCTCTTTTGTTTTTGGAATTCATATCAGTTGAATGATAGGATTTTTGTTGCCATCTCTTACCCGATACTGGTGCCTATTTTGTTGTTTTTTTCTACTTTTGGCGGGACTGGGGCTTGAAATCAGGTTTTCATGCTTGCAAAGTAAGCACTCTACCACTTACACTGCACCTGCAGTCTGTTTTGCTCTGGTTATTTTGGAGATGGGGTTTTTCGAGTTTATTTGCCTGGCCTGGCCTCAAACCTTGATCCTCTGAATCTCAGCCTCCCAAGTAGCTAGTTAGGCTCACATGCCACTAGCACCTGGCTCTTTTTTTTTAAAGTTATTTTCTGATACTGTCTCACTTTTTTTTTTTTTTTTTTGCCCAGGGCTGGCCTCTGGCTATGATCCTCCTGCCTATAGCCTCTTGTGCTGCTGGGATCACAGGTGCATGCCATGCCAGCTTGTTGGTTGAAATGGGTCTCTTTAACATTTTGCCTGGACTTTCCACATTCACCTCCTGAGTAGGTGAGGTTGCAGGTGTACGCAGTATTGTTGTGGATTTTAAAAAAAATACTGTCAGTTTGGTAGGGATGTATGTAATTTACCATATTTAAACAAAATGTGAAGTTTTGCTTTTGATAAACATGATAATCTTACTAGGATTATGTTATATTACTGACATGGAACTGGGTTCTTATCCTAAGTCTTAGGGGTAAAATCATGTTTAGATATGTGAATAGATTGATTTTATAAAAACTTAAGTCTAACAGCTATGTTCTTTAATACAGAATAATATGTTTATTAAATGATAAAATGTGATAAAATATTTTATGAGACTATAAAATATGGCTTATTATTGTGGATTTGACTGCATTTTTTATGAAATCACATTTCTTAAAGAACCAAATACAAAATTGGTGAAAACTCCAACTTCCTTCCGTTTCTCTGATATGCTCTTATCCTTATTCTTTACTTAAGGAAGTCAGGCTTTTAAGGACCAGCTCTTGGACTTCTGTGAGATTTCGCCTCATGAATCAGTAGTTATCCTGCTGTCTTCACATAGCATTTGGTACTTTCTTACCTTGTAACAGTTTATTAGAACTTTAGCATTCTCCCACTGTTGGGGGCTAAGTTTCTAAAAATGTCTGGGTAAATACAAGAAATTATGCTTGAATAACATAATCTTATGTGAAAA